TTTCTTTCTTTGAGTTATCAGATCTTTTCAAAGATCTCAGGCCTTAACTACCATGCTAGCTAATGGATAAAATGGTACAGCCAGCTCCCCTAATCAGTTTCTTATGTGTAGCCTTACCCTATACAACTCATAAGGATAGATATTAAAATGAATCATATGAATCACTGTTTTCATTTCTCTCTCTCTTTTTCTTTTGGTAAAATATGACCCAACAGAGACAATTTCACACAATTTAATCTAGTACTTTTTGGTTACAAATACAATAGACTTTCCTGTGGACATATAGAGTTAAACGGGAGAGCTAGAGTTAAACAGAGTCCTGTGCCCATGATAGGTGCTCATAAAGATTCGCTGAATGAATGAATGATTGAATGAATGAATGAATGGACATAACGACAAATGACCAAAAAAGATGAAACTAAGTAAACAGGAACAAAACTGCATGGTACAGACTCGTGGCAGTGGAAGTGGCAGAACATGTCAGTCACACAAAGCACTTTGGCAGTTACGTGAGTCTTTCTAACCAACATTCTCTTTTCAATTTAATTTTGATTTGTTAGCAAGAGATTGGCATTGCCTGTGGGAGAAAGCAGTCCTGGCATATTTCACTACTGACTCTCCTTGTTAGGGAACAAAGAAAAAAGAACCACTATAGGAGTTTAAGGAGGGAAAAAAGCACCTTGGAGCTAAGAGACGAGACTTCAGAGGTTGGTAGAATTTTCATGAAGCACGTTGCTTTTCATTTGGCAGCAAGGACTGTCTCCATGGGCAACATCATAAATTGAACGTCTTAGTGTTCCTGCTGATTTTCCTTCCATGTGATCCCAGGGAAACCAACAACTCTATTTCTCGCCCATTGACAATTCTGGAGAAAACAAAGGATCACCAAATCTTAATGATTAATAGGACTTCAACCTTGGATGCATTCACCCATCTATTTATTCACCCCCTCAGCCTGTTATATCATGATGTGCAGGATTCTGCCCAGGTACTGGGAACAGAGTGAGGTTTAAGATGTGAGATATCTCCAAACCAGAGGGGATATTCATCTTGTATAGGGAGGGTAAGTGTGACTGGCAATGAAAGAGAAAACTGGGGAGAAAATAGAGGTCCTGCATACCAATAGTGTGGAGTTTGTGAGAATACACATGCTTTTTGGGTGGCAAAGCACCAGGCTGACACTTAAGATAGATGAGATAAATTAAATAACCCCAAAATGCATATTATTGTTCCTAATAACATAGAATAACTTTCTCTCACCGGGAATAGTTACTTCTTTACTGATTTCACAGGCAACCCCCTCAGCTGTGACTGGGCAAGAGCACACACATTTCCCATCCAGCAGAATCACGGTGCCCCCATTGCGGCATGGGCGGCATTTTTTCACACTGTATTCATTGACATAATCGTCAAGGGCTCTTTCGAAATTCTCTTTCTTTTGGTGTGCATCTTTCATTTTCACTGGAATCAGATTATGTATAGGAGACAGCTGCAAGAAAGCAAAACATTTAATTTTAGGTCTTTTTCTACTGGCTGAGCTTGTAACATTCTTCACTGAATTATTTACTCATTAATTAACTAATTTGACAAAAGGCTTATTGAAGGGTTATTATTGCCAGATATGATGGTAGCCTTTAGGACTATAGTAGTGACCAAAATGAGGCATGATCTCTTTGGTCAGGAAATGACATTATGGAAGTAAAGAGACTGATATTAAAATAATCATACAGATAAATTTAAATGGAAACTATGATATGTGCTATAAAGGATGGGCGTGTGTGTTTTAGAAATGAACAGTCACGGATTTAAGCTTTTGGCAGTATCATTTATTGGCATAGTATTTTGTGAGCTGTCCTTCTGCCTTTCCCCTTCCTCTCCTCTTTCAGAAGATAGCCAAGTGCTTGTCTTAAGAGGAGGTTTGTGTGCAAGGCCAAGTCCAGAAAGCCCTGAAGGTCAACTTCTTATTGACTTTTTTCTCTGAAAGCCTGAACTCATTGGGAATGTTTTTCTGGGAAAAGTATGAGAAGAATGCCGCTGAAGGAGAAGATTCTTCTAGACCAGGGAAGGGACAGCGTTCGCATGCACCCCAAGTAGCAGGAAATCATAATCAGACCTCTAGCAGTTATTTTGGGGAGTAGCAAGACCTGTGGAGTACCCCAGGGAAGCTGGGTATCGAGGACCAGGGCTCCAGTTTTGTCAGTGATCCCCATGCACAGTCTTGGCATGGAAGGCTCGGAACCACTTGACTCCAAGTGAACATGTGAACATGATCAGTGAGGTTATCAGGGCGACCACAGTGGATTCAACACCTACGTACTTCGTCTCCCCATCTCCCCAACAGAAGCATCAGGATTCATGCATTAATTTAGGCAACAAGGAAGACCTCCCTGAACCCCATCCAACAGATGAATGAAGGATACATTTTCCAGCGTTATGGAGAAATGGGATCTCAATGTGAAGTTTAATTAGACTTCAAGGAAATGAAATGAAATGAAATGAAATGATTTATTTTGCACACTTAAATTTCTGGAGCAAGATACAAAGTTGCTACAACTGAATCAGAGAAGCTTGGGAAGATTTTCCTGAGAAAATGACTATTAAGCTGAGATTGACGGTATTAAGGAAGAAAGAAGAGGATTCCAGTCTACAGTGCAGAATTCAAAAAGTTCCTGTCGCGGAGGTACCATTGCTTCTTGGCCTATTGGCTAAGGTCAAGTGTATAGTAGAGGAACCATAACATATATGAAAACTTGCACCATATGTCCATGAAATTTAAGTGAATTCAATTATGTGACTATAAAGAGCTGCTTGAGTGAAAGAATTGTAACAAATTGAGGTCCTTTGGTGGCACTGTATTTTGAAACAAGATACCACAAAATTCAAATGAAATTGGAATCTAAAGATTCAAGAAAGAAGTAAGAAAAAATATACCAGCAATTCCTGCAGAACAGTAATGATGGATTAAGTATTGTCAACTAATCCTTTTACTGAGGACAACGGAAAAAGCTGAACAAAATATAACCAAAATTAAACATCTGCTTGAGGGTCCTGGAGAACTAATGAGGTGATAAAGAATTAACAAGGTAATGAAGATCTGGGAGAAGATGGAAATTCCATGAGGTGAGCCCCGCATTTTGGGGCCCCCAGTCCCCTTGACATATTTCCTAATTGAGGGAGAGGCGGTCAAGTGACTAAATGGTAGACAGCATATTACTGGACTGGGGGTGGGGAGATTGGAATTTAGGACCCAAAATGGTAACAAGGGACCAACCCGAAGGACTACAGCACTAGCGGTAACAGGCATGTGGAAGTGGGTGGCCCTGGTGAAGACTGCAGCCTGGTTTGCATGAAAATGATCCTGAATTATTAGCACTCAGAAGCTTTCCAGATATAAATGTGTATTTCCTTTGGAGGAAAACAAAATTATCTCAGGTGTCACCCTACTCCTATAACACTTTTTAAAGTATAATCTTCAACCCACAACAAAAATAACTAGGTGCACAAGGAAACAAAGCAACACGATGGAGAACCATAAAAATAATAGAGGCTGGAAACAGAGTGATGGGAGATGCCAAGATTCGAGCTCTCAGACATAGATTTTAAAATAACCGTATGAACTGGGGGATGGGAGAAAAGTTGGCAAATGTTAGCAGAGAACAAGAAATTATCTTTTTAAATGGAAGACTTGGAAAGGTAGATATACAAGAGCTTGATATTATAAAAAACCAAATTAATGGCCTAGTTAAATGGCAGATGTGACACAACTGAAGCAAAGTTCATGACCTGAAATATAGGTCAGAAGAAAAAGTATTGACAGTGAAGTATGAAAAGATAAAAGTTTGGGAAATGCAGAAAGAAGATAGAAAACATAAAAGAGTGAGAAGGTAAAGAAAGACAGAATATATGAAAAGGAATATTTGAAGACTAATGGCTGAGAATACTATAAACCTGGTGACAGACATCAAGATACTCCATTAATGAAAAGCAAGGTTAAAATTGTTCTTTTTGCACCCAGCCACATCAGAGTAAAATTGCTGGAGAATAAAGCAACATCCCACAAATGATGACAGTAGAGAAAATCTTAAAAGCAGCTAAGTAAAAAACCATAATATTTTGAAAACAGACTGACATTTGATTTTCACAGATATAAAAAATATACCACCAATCAATAATACAGTCTAAATTATTCTAGGACAAGGAGATATTCAAAGGGAAGTTTTTTTAAAAAAGTGACCTAACTTACACCACACACAAGAAACAACTCTAGGTTTATTGTAGAAGGAAATGTTAAAGTAAAACAATAAAGCTTCTGGAAGATAACACATAGGAGAGCATCTTTAGGACCTTGAGGTAGGGAGTAACTTTAAATAGGACACAAAAGCACCAACTGTAATGAAAAGAAATGTATATCTAACTATATCAAAATAAAAACAACGTAATTCCTGATAAAATGAGGAAGGACATGATATCATGTTTGTGGAATTCTTACCCAAAATGCACAATCTCAATCTACTCTAAGCCTAAATAGAGAAACATTTGACACAAGTGACCAGTACTCATCAAAGGTATCAAGGTCATGAAAGACAAGAAAAGTCTGAGGAATTGTCACAGGTTGGAGGAGACTAAAGGGATGTGATCACTCAATGCAGCATGAGATACTGATTGGATCCTGGACCAGAAAAAAGGAGATTAGGGTGCAACCTGGTGAAATTTAAATAAGGCCCATGATGTAGTAAATGTGAATTTCCTGGTTTTGATGATGGTACTATGGTTATATATATATTTTTTTAATTTATTGGGATTACAATGGTCAATATGAACATATAGGTTTCAGGTGTGGGTTTCTATGTTACAAGATCTGTGTATTGCTCTGTGTCCACCACCCAAAGTCATATCTTCTTCCAATTAAGTTGTTAATATTAGGGGCTTCTGGGTGTAGGGCTTATGTGAATCCTGTGCTAGTTTGCAATTTTACTAGCTGTACAATTTGTGTCATTTTAGAGTAAATCTCAAATGATTTCAAAATAAAAAGTCAAAAAGAGGAAATTGGTTATCAAAAATACCATTTAAGGGTGAAAGTCCTCAAGTGAGAGAAGACATTTATAGTACTTTTAAGTAAATAGTCTCATACCCAGGATATATCAAGAGCTTCTACAAGTCAACACAACTGTCCACCAGCACACCACTGACGGGTAAGTATGTAGGATATGGATTTCAACTCTGTCATATTTATTTGGAAGGAAGAAACCCACTTACCAGCATTGCCACATCAGCACAAACAGCATAGGCACGTAGTGGAGTTACTTTGATTTTTAAGAAAAGAAATTCAGCCTGGCCGGGCATGGCTCAGCGGTTGAGCATCGACCTGGGATCCAGGCGATCGGGGTTTGATTCCCGGCCAGGGCACATGCCCGGGTTGCGGGCTCGATCAGTGATTCTCTCATCATTGATGTTTCTGTCTCTCTCTCTCACTCTCCTTTCCTCTCTCGGAAATCAATAAAGATATATTAAAAAAATAATAAGTAAATAAATAAAAAAGAAAGAAAAGAAATTCATCTTGTTTTACCCTTCAAAGGAAAGTCAAGGCTAGATAATCTCAGATACAGGAATAGAGGGTCATGGGGAAAATGCAATTTGGTTGAAATGCACCAATAGTATTCAAAGAGATAAAGGACATGTAATAACGGCAGTTTCAGAGAACCTCAAACCCTGGAGCCAAAAATCTCACAAGACGACAAAGGACAATTAAAATGTACATTCTGAAGTTTTCCTGAAGAGCTACACCTTTTTCTGATGAACTTTGGCCTTCTGTTAAGTAAGAAAATGGTTATAATTTTTCTCTTATCCTAGTTGATGCTTTTCTACCATTTGTAGAGGATGTATTTTTAGTGGATGTAGTCTATCATGAAATTTGCTAACATACAAAAAAATGACAACATAGTTTAATATTAAGTACTTAGATTATTATAATATTAAGTATTATGTTAATACTATAATATTAAGTATTTAGGTTTCTTAAAGGCTTCCAAACGAATTAAACTATATGCACCAGATGTAGATTGTTAATAGAATAAGTATTATTTTTATCCCTATAATACTTTTGTAATTAACCTAGTTATTAATAACAGGAAAGGAGTAAAGGGAAGGCCAACTATTATGGGTGAAATAGGGAAGGTACTTGTCTGTCAGTAGCATCCAGGAACAGGTCATTGGCCAGAGCAGGCGTGGAATATTTAATCCCCTAAACAAAGAAATTCACTCTCTTAGCTCGTGGCCCTCTTGTATGCTCAGTGCTCTTGGATGCCTTGGGACTCCTGTTGCAGGGGGAGCGCTCTCTTGGCTCCCCTGCATTTACCCACATTGTGTGGACCCCACACAATGGAACAATGGACTGCAACTAGCCTGATGCTGAACCCGACCCAGTTACAACACGGAACAGACACTCTGGACACTTGGCTTTGCTTCTAGCTCTGATGAATCCCCAGCTGTACTTCTCCCAGGACTAGATTAAGGGAAGTGGGACTTTGGAAACCCAGGGATGTAATTCCACACAAATAAAAACCACTCCTCCTCCCATATGAGTCTCAGAAAATTCTTTTTCTTGAGATATCATAAGGACCCTGCCCCCAGCACTCATAACACTGATAACACCTATACCAGAGTTAGGAATGATTTTCACTGTGCTGTTAGAACTGTAACGACTATAACACAGAGCACTGGTGCTGCAGCTCTTTAAAGCACTGATTGTCATTAACATCTGGCGCAGCACTGCTAAGTCGCACAATACAACAAAAATTGTAGGTTGAGTGGTTCATGATTACCCAAGATCTTCCAGAAACAGCTTGATATAGCTCGATACGTGGGTGGATAAGAGTGGATGAGGGTAATGAAAAAAGGAGAACTGAGAACAGAAAAGGCAAGATGAAGGTAAAAGCAACACACAAGCACAAAATTCAGGAGAACCCACCCATCTGCATGAGGCGGGTCACAAAATCGGTTATATTTACCAGAGCGTTGAGTGAAACAACTGGATTTAATGATCACGTGCATTAAGGAAAACGTACCTGAGTCCCAAGAGAAACAAAATGATCCTTGAAACGAAGATTAAGGAGTAAGACCTCTCATGAGTTCTCATGAAGGAGACCTTGTGAACTTCCCTTTCATGAAGGCCCTTAATAAATACCATTCCCCTGTGTTGCAAGTGGTAGTGTGATGCCACCCAGAGGCGAGGACAACCAGGGGCAGATGGAAGGGCACCAACCATTCCTGAGCACCTATTTTGTGCTAGCCTGTGCTATGGGCTCTATACCTGCAATCTTATTAAATCCTTAAAATAAACCTGGAGCCCTGGAGAATTTAGTGTTGAGGAAATCAGAAAACATGACACATCTCGTGAGGGACAGAGACCCCAAGCTCAGCCTGGGTTGGTCTGATGTCACACTCTGTGCCTTTCTTCTATGCCATGCTTCTTCCAGGGGGTGAGATGGGAGTGCATCTGAATGTTTGAATCTTTCAGATGAAGTTGACTGTTCATCTGAACCAACAGGGACATTTAATAGAATGACAAAATACTCTACTTGAAAATAAACATTACTTACCCTTTCTTTTGTGAGCACTGGAGCATCACTCAAGGAAGAACCCCAGTTTACAAAGTCCTTCACATCAACTGTTCTGGCTCCTCTGAGAAGCTTCTCTTTCAGTTGAGTTGCATATTGTTTGGTTCCTCCTCTTATGAGTGAAATGACGTCGTCTATGATGCCGTCGCCGGTGATGTTTACTGAGAAGAGAGAGAAGATGGAAGTCAAGCGTTTTTAATTCTGTGACATTTGATAAACATTTATTGAACCCCTTTTGTAAAGTATAGTCTAATATATTTATTGAATTTTACTTATAAACATTACTTACGCAACTTTTGCACCCCAAATCTCCAAGGGCAATTTCTATTAGTCGCTAATTGTAGACTTCAATCATCTTTTTAAAAATAAAATAAAAATTTTACCATGATTGAGATGCATGGGTAATTCCAAGGTCATCACTCACTCCTGTGCACACATGGGAACTAAACACAACTTTAAATGTACTATAATTTTTTTTTGTTGCAGACTTACCTTCATAATTATATTTCTTATTGGTTTGCTTTAAACTATTTTAATATTATTTAAAAAAATCAAAGGATTCAAAAAAGAATAAAGTGAGAAACAAAATTTCTTTCTATCCCCAGTGCCTACCCACCTCTCCCTCAGTCTCTCTCCAGGCTAAACCACTTTTAACAAACTTTTGTGAATCTTTTAGACTTGTGAATATTTTGAACCGGAAAAAAATTCTAGATGATTTTTTAAGCCTTCCTCATTTTTATGGATGAGAAAACTGAGGCTCAGGGAGTTGGAGTGACTAGCCCCAAATCACACAGTTAGCTTAGGGGCCAAACACTGAAATGATGACATTTGATGGCAGGTTCAGCTTTCTTTTCAGTTCATTACTGGCTTCCAATCATGGCCACATGTTAGTGGTTGCTGTGCTTTAACAAGTATCAGGTTTTCACTCTCTTCTGCTTCTCCGCCGTCTTTAAAGGTGAGTCTCAAGTATTTGAATGTCTGAAAATGCTCTCAGGTTTCTCTGATTAGAGTAAAAATTGAGAATTCCAGCACTGCCTTGTGCTTGCAAATCTGCTAATGAGTAACAATAGAAGTAATATTTATACTGAAGATATTTATATTTTTAAAAGGGTTATGCAATGATTTATTACATTAAGGATGGATTAGGGATTTCTTTTTTCATCTTTATTGAGATATAACTGACATGACTTGCCATACATAGGGCAAAAAAATTACCAGAATAAATTTAGTTAACATATATCATGTCATATAGCTACAAAATTGTTTTTTTCTTGTGATGAGGACTTTTAGGATCTACTCTCTTAGTAGCTTTCAAATTTACCACACAGCCGTGTTAACTGGGAATAGTCATGATGTTGTACATTACACCCCTAGTTACTTATTTATCTTATAACTGGAAGTTTGTACCCCTTGACCAATTGAGTGAAGGTGAATTAGGGATTTTAAATTGGGTGGAAGGTTGAGTTAGAGAGAGACTTTTGGTCTTTTCCTTTCTTAATGGAAGCATATAATACTGCCACTAGTCCATTCAAAACCTTTGTTAAAATTAGGGGAAGAAGAGGACATTTTTTCTCAAGATGTTTTTCTACCATTGCCATCGTAAACATACAAATCTATAATGACTGCAGTTTGAGCAGCGCCCCCTAGAGCTGCACACTGCACAACCGACACCATGGTGACAGATGAGTACATGTCCCTGGGTCGCTTATGTTTATAACAGTTTGGAAAACACTGTAAAGATAAAATAGTTTTTAAGCACTTCTAGTTTGTTGTGTTGTTGTTGTATTTTTAATAAAGAAGACAGTAAGAGCGCTCATAGTGACAAGGCAGTGCACATTGACATGACCCCCACCCCCATTTTTAACCTAAGAAGTGAGGCCATACTTACCAGTTTTGCCACCACCACTCTTTATGCAATCCTTTTTATTAAGGTTTCCTTTTAATTCGATTCCAAAATTCACAGATAAGTCCAGATCATACCCAAGGCATTTCTTGACATCCTTTAGTTCCACACCTGTTTAATGTATTTAGTTGAAAATTATTAGATAATATCTATCAGTATCATAGATAAATTCCAGTTTTGCTCTTTTATAAGAAACATACTTGGATTTGTAGGCATTATTACTGAATGCAAATGGAAGGTTACATCTGTCCTGCTTTGTCCTCGAATCTAGTAGCCTCCTTTTGACTTTGCTTATCAACTTAATGGCAAAGGACATATAAATTCACCTCTTGTTTAAAAGGGACATAGGTCATACTAGGTCGGTTATAGCCCTAAGATTAAAGATTTGAGCCCTTGGAACTTTTTCACTCAAGAACTCTTAGTTCAAAGGGTTCTCTGTGCTTTGATCACTGCTACTGAGCCTTTCTCTTCTGATTTTCAATTTACTCAAGACGCACTCCTCTTGTGCCCATCTCCCAGTGATATCTATCAGGTGAGCTTACCAGGCAGGGCTCAGAGACTTCATTATGCTATCTTGCTGGCTTTAGCCCTGTGAGCAAAGCAATCTCATATTCCACTCCTCCAGATAACGCTGCTTCTACCTGCCCAAACTAGACTGAGGCATTAAGAGCAGTTGGTTCTGGCCCTGCTGGCGTGGCTGAGCGGTTGAGCATCAACCTATGATCCAGGAAATCAAGGTTCAATTCCTAGTCAGGGCACATGCCCGGGTTGCAGGCTGGATCCCCAGCGGGGGGCATGTGGGAGGCAGCCAATCAATGACTCTCCCTCATTGATGATTCTATCTCGCTCTCCCTTTCCCTTCCTCTCTCTGAAATCAATAGACATATTTTTTTTAAAAAAGTGCAATTGGTTCTGGCTGTGTCATATTTATTTCACTTGGGGACAGTGTCAGGCTTTAAGATCACAGACACATCGCATTCTTCACTTGACACTGCCAGAGGCTATGAGGAAGGAGCCATGGATGTGGTTTTTGGAAACACTTCCCTTCCTCGGAGACACATCCCAACATTTTGAGGGCAGAGAGAAGAAATATGCTGGCATCTATCACCTCTTTAAGACATATTATAACTTTCCATAATTATAAAATAAATTATTAAAACTTGTTAATAAAGTCCCTTTGCATCTACTTTATTCTTAAAAGATTTATATAAAGCCTTTAGCCAGGATGGCAATTACGTAGCACAGAGGCCTCTCCTGTACACACAGCAAACATTGATGATCAATCATGGCCTTCTTTCTATGATTTCAAGTGTGGTCAGAAACCTACTCAACACGGACCCAATTCAACTACCACCAAATAATTAGAATTCTCATCATACAAGGGTGAAACTAATGTTCAACCCTTGCTTTAAGATGTTAGACTTATATGATGTTAACATTGCTTCCTCCCTTCTCCTTGAGAGAAAATTTAGAACAATATTTCCCTTCCAATACTGAAGACAATTATCATCTGTATAATCAAACCAGCCTACCGGCTAAGAAATAAGTTATATAAATTATGTCTCTTGCACTTTCATGTTTTAAATAGATCTTCACCAAAAGCAGCAGTACCAGTAATATTAAATTACAATACAATTTCTGCTGCTGGCTAGTGCATTACCAAGTCATCTTGTTTGAGGCAGAAGCCAATTTGCTGTTTGATAGGGTTTTAGGTGTCAAAGGGAAGGGAGAGTGTTCTTTCAAGGAAGCAGGTTACATATCTCTATTCTAAAGACTTTAACCACTGATAGAGGTTATCAATACGAATAATGGTTGGTTAAAACATTATTAGAAGTTACAGCTCTATTTCTAGGTATACCGTGTTCCTTCATGACAGCTTTATTCAGAACATATATTAGTTCATATAATCCTCCTAGAGACCCAGCGCTACTGTAATGAGTTCCATAGGTTTCCAAAAATGCAAAATATTCCCCCTTTTCATAAGTAGTTGGCAGATTTTTTAAATCATCCAGGAAAGTGGATGTCAGCATGATATCCCGATTTCTCATCACAAATCTTCCCAGATCAACTTCTCCTTTCACATGCATAAAAATTTTTTCCTGTGTTGCAGAGAAGAAGAAAATAAATGTGAGTTTTACCACCATTATTGCAAATTTAAACATCACAATATTTGAAATTTCCATAGGTAATGCATTTTTTAGCAGTGACTGTAAGATAATCACTTTAACCCAGTAGAATGGCAAGCTTAAAATACTATTAATACCAACTGTTGGTGAAGATGTGCAGCAGCAAGAATCCTCTCATACGTAGCTGGTGGGAGTGGAAAATGGTGTAAACACTTTGGAGAACTGTTTGACAGTTTCTTATAAAAGTAAACACAGCAACCCTATGGTCAGTCATCCCACTTTTACATATTTATCTAAGATCAATAAAAAAGTAGTCCACAAAAAGGCCCGTACAAGACTTTTGTAGCAGCTTTAGTCAGAATATCTTAAAATTGGAATTGACTCAAATGTCCATTAAAGGGGAATTGATAAACCAACTGTAGTACGTTCACATGAAGGAATACTAGTTAGCGATAAAAACACACACAAGCTACTGATACATGCAACAACATAAGTAAATAAAAAATATTATGCTGAGTGAATTAAGTCAGACACAAAGAAATATATACTGCATGGTTCCATTTATACAAAGTTCTAGACAGGGGAAGCTAAGTTATGATCAGAGAAACCTGGTCATTGGTTGCTTCTCAGGTGGTAGAAAATTGACTGCAAAGGGCGTGAGGGAATTTTCTTGAGGTCATGGAAATGTGCTATACCTTGTTTGAGGAGGTGATTGCACAGGTGAATACAATAGTCAAAACTCATGGAACTATATGCTTAAAATAGTTGCATTTTATTGTATGCAAACTTACCTCATTAAGTTGATTTTAAAATGTTAACAATGGAAGGAAATGTAGACATTGTATATGAAGCCCAACCTTTTTATTTTGCAGATGAAGAAACTGTGATCCAAAGGTATCAAGTTATTTGCCCCAAATGACACAAATAGTTCATGGCAATGACTGGTACTAAAAACCTACATTTCAGGTCTCCCTCTTCCTTCTACTATGTCCTCTTGATCTTTGATAACAGAGATGGAACAGACAATATTTTAAGACACGGATCTCAAGTCAACCTAACACAGCTCAACAGTTAAGTTTCCTGGGAGGATGGCTTAAATTTCTAAGAGAAAAGTAGGGCAGTGATGAGCTATGTAATTCAATGCTATAGACTGTTCCAGCTAAAATTAATTACAAATGAGCTCCATGATTTTGTAGATGATTCTTTTAAGATTCTCCTGCTGTAGTTGTGGTTGGTACATGTTGATTGCATGGGAGTTAAAAACATGCTATTTTTTTTTTAAAAAGGTACATCTCAGTGTCTATGAACATCACATCAAACTTTCTGTGTTCTAGAAGCATAACTGTTCATGCTGCATGACTTAACTGCAGGTGATAGTGGATGATTCAGCCTCTAACAAAAATCTTAAAGAAACCTACTGCATATATAAAAAGTCATATGAGTTCTCCATCTGATGACTTGCATAATAATTTTCAGTGGAATCTCAAAGATACACAAAACATATTTGGATTCCTTTGCATTGTTGCTAAAATTAGGAAGTCTATCTTGTCAGGAAGATGTTCTGTTCTTCCGCTCAAATTATTTTAGAAGTAAACCTTAGATCATTCCTATTCAGACGTACTGTTGTTTCTTCCATCTTACAGGAATTTAAAATAAACCACTCTTGAGCTCATTTGTCCAACCTTGCTAGAAGCAACAATCCCTTAAAGAGTTTTCTATACTGGCTGCTTCCAATTCTTCTCTTCCCAGTTCTCTGAAATCTAATTTATAGTCATGCCACCGCCCTTACAACCCCAACAAAACCTGGCTTGTTGAGTCACCAATGACCTTCAAAATGCAAAAGCCATGGTTGCTTCTCAGTCTTCATCTTCTTTGACATACATATTAGTATACTTGACAGTCTATTATTCCTTTCTCCTCGACAGTGTTTCTTTTCCTGCCTTCTAGGGAAGTTCTTCTCAAACTGTAAAGTGCAAACAAATCACCTAAAGAATCTTGTTAACATGCACTTCTGATTCAGTAGGTCTGGGGTAGAGTCTGAAATTCTAGTTTCCCAGTGATGTAGATGCTGCTGGTCCATGGACCACACTTTGAGTAGCAAGGTTCAAGGGCATCATGCTAGCAGCACCTTGCTTTCCTTTGCTGGTTCCTCCTCTTTCCCCAGAACTTCTACTGAAGTTCCTTGGATTTAGTCTTTGATCTTCCTCTCTTTTTTATCTACATTAACTCTGTTCCTGGTCTCACCAAGCCCTATGACCATCGATACACCATAATTTTAGCTCAAGCCCAGGCTTATTTTCCAAACTCCAGAATCATAACATCAATTTCCTACTTGACATCTCCAAGTAAGTGTCTAATAGATATCTCATCCTGAATCTAACTAAAACTTAACCACTGGTGTTCTTCTCCAAACTTGCTCTACCTGAAGTTTTCTCCATCTCAGTTGATAGCAACTCAACCTTTCCAGTTGCTCAGGCCCAAAACCTTAGAGTCATGTTTGACTCTACAACTGTCCTGTCTGAACTATCAACTCTCACCTGTATTTCTATAGTAACTTTTAACAAACCTTGCTTTTGCACTTAACTCTCATAACCTCTTTAAATGAGTACCAATAGTAATCACTTAAAATATATTGGGATCTGTCAATATTCTATGAAAAACATTCTAATGACCTCTCATGTCACTTAGAGAAAAAGAAAACTCTTAGACTAGGCCGCCAGGTCCTTCAGGATATAGTTCAAGGTAAACTCCCCAGATGTTTCTCCTTCTGGTTCACTTTGGCCCTATGGGCAGGTGTATCCCCATATTAGAGGTTTGTCTCTAAAAGTTCCTTCTGCCAGATGTATCACCCAAATATAACTATTTGGCTATATCTTCCCCTTCAAACATTTGCTCAGATCTTATCTCCTCAATGAAGCCTACTCTGAGCTTCCATTTATTTATTTATTTATTTATTTATTTATTTATTTATTTATTTATTTATTTATTTATTTATTTAATTTTTTAATATATTTTTATTGATTTCAGAGAGAGGAAGGGAGAGGGAGAGAGAGGGAGAAGAAGAGGGAGAGGGAGAGAGATACAGAAATATCATTGATTGGCTGCCTCCTGCATGCCCAGTACTGGGGATTGAGCCCACAACCTGGGCATGTGCCCTGACCGGGAATCAAACTGCGATCTCCTGGATCCTAGGTAGATGCTCAACCGCTGAGCCACGCAGGCTGGGCTGAGCTTCCTTTTAAATACCATCATCTGCCCAACTCTCCTGATTTCCCTTATGTTACTCTATTTTTCATTTTATTCCATAGCAGTTATCATTTTCTAAATCCTATATATCTTCCTTTTTCTGCAATTATGTTTATTGTTTTTGTCTATCTCCCCCTGCTGATCTTTGTCCTGCCCACGAGGTCAGGACTAGGACTCTGTTAGTTTGATTCACAAAAGATTTTAAGCACCTGGAGCAGTGCTTGGCCACATAGTAAGTCTACAATTAAATATTTGTTGAATGATTTAAAGGATTTTTCAAGTTACTATTTTAGGCAGGTATTCATGTGAATATATAGGCAATGTACAGACCCATATAAAACACTTCTATCTATTGGCATAGCATAAGTACTAAGAGTGAATTATTATTTTCAAGGTGGGAGGAGAGTATCTAAATAGGTGCTTGTGATCTCAAAAAAGGAAGAAGGGGCATTTTACAAGCATCACGGTGATTACAGAAAGTGTACTCTATATTTATTCCAAAGTTGATGAATCAAACTTTGAAACCTGGCTTAAATGTTAAAAAACAAACACATTTTAGAAATCTAAAATTAAAGGTAGAGCCTGGATGGGCGTGGCTCGGCGGTTGAGCGTCGACCCAGGATCCAGACGATCGGGGTTTGATTCCCGGTCGGGGCACATGCCCAGGTTTCGGGCTCGATCCCCAGTCGGGGGCGTGCAGGAGGCAGCCGATCAATGACTCTCTCATCACTGATGTTTCTATCTCTCTCTCCCTCTCCTTTCCTCCCTATGAAATCAATAAAGATATATTAAAAAAATTTTTTTTTAATAAAATTAAAGGTAGAATTACAAAATAAACAGACCAATTTCATATGCATTGTGTACAATTTTATGGCGTTGTTACTTTAGAGACACACTTTATAATAAGTATGTGGTCTCATCCTAAGACATTGTAATGAATTACCCAAATCATGCAGTATGATTTTTCACTGTAATTCTGAACATAGTATAAATTGGACAGTTTATTACCACAATCTCAGTCAAAAAGTATGCTCTGAATTCTTAACATACTTGTTCTCTGTTCACTACACCAAACATCTCTTACTATCACTAAAGATCCTATTTGGCATTCTCCTTCCTGACCTTCTAGCAACATATTGCAACATATTGGAGAATTTATTGAGTATTGGTTTATTCTTCTGTCTTATGAGCTTGATCTGCTCTAAACACTTAAACCTAAAAGAGAGGGTTTGGTTAGTTTGAAAAATATCCCACTATGTTCTCTACATGAATTCCTGGGTCTTACCTTCTTAGAAAAGTGTGACAGCAACAGTTGGTAAGTTTCGTTTTTGGAATACCTATATCGAAATGAACCTGCAGCACCCAGTGGGGAAGCACTCTGTGCTGGGGCATCTGCACCAGGAGATGGCCCTCCTTGAAGGTTAGTTTTAAGCAGCTCAAGTTTTTCGGTGGGTGTGTATTTGAGAGAGAGCTCCGCATTCAGATTTGATGTTGTGTCTCTGATGACATATTTGAAGGCTTCTAACTGTTCTTCATAATGTTCAGTTCTGAAATTTTTATCAACTCTAGTCTAAAAGAGAATGACAAGGTGTTAAAAACAGCAGACAAAGCCCACCCAAAATAAACACAGAAAAGAACACCCCCGTCAATTATTTGAAAGGCAGCAGAGCCTTTAAAGGAGGTAAGAGTAAAGGCCCTGAGATGAGACTGCTGGAATTCAAATACAGGTCCCACGACTTAGAGGACATTACAATGACCTCTGTATGTGTAGTCTGATTCCTAGTCTACGGAGCGGGGATACTCACCACGCCTACCCAAAGGTGGCTGTGAGGATGCAATGAGATAATGCATATGAAAGGTTTAGAACACAGCAAGCTTTCCAAAGTTAATATAGTAATAATTAAAAAGCTAGTTACATAACAGATGCACAGTATATTTCCTCTTGTACATAAAAAAAGAAATTAAGAAATGACAAAGCTAACACTTCTGGATGGTTTATCAGCCAGGAACTGATTTGTGTATTTTACACCTGTTAATTAATTTAAGTAGAGAGGCCAGGACTTGAAAGTTCAACTGCCTCATAACCTTTACACTCTACTGCCTACAAAAAAAACAACAAAAAATGGAAAAAAAATATGGAAAATTTCTGGAAATATAGACAAAGCACAGAGAGTGTTTGCCCTTGAGAAGGGGAACTGTGAAATGGGAATGTGGAGTGGGAACGTTTTTCCTTGTACAACCAATTGTGCTGTTGGACACTTTGATTCCCACCCCCCACATTCCTTTTTGCATAAAAAACCCCCAAAAAACTGAACTAAACAACCTAGTTAAAAATGAAAACTTTCAATTAAAACATTCTTGGACACGTTGGCTATTGTCAGGTCTGAAGGGGAAGGTTGTTCATCTCAATGGCTGAGCTCTTTCCAGGGGACTTAGAAAGAGGTTATAACACTTGTCTGGGAAGGAGACACCCATCTCTTGTCAGTGGCATAGATTAGATTCAGTAGCGTGCATTGGGTGACTGTTCTGCCTAAGGAATGCTATGGTCTGAATGTTTATGCTCCCTCCACCCCAAGTCCATAAGTTAAAACCCTTATGCCCAATTCCATGGTATTAAGAGGTGGGGCCTTAGGGAGGGGCCTTCATGAATGGGATTAGTACTCTTATAAAAGTAACCCCACAGAGCTCCCTAGTCCCTTCCATCCTGTTTGAACATAATAAGAGATCTGTGACCTACGAGATGGTCCTAACATGACCATGCTAGCACTCTGGACTGTGAGAAATAAATTTCTGTTGTTTCTAAGTTACCCTGTCTCTGGTATGTTGTTACAGGAGGAGCCTGAACAGATGAAGACAGGAAACCTAAAGTTATCATCTAATGGGAAAGACAAAAATTCATGTAATTTTCTTTAATGCAAGGTATGCTGGGGAAATTGTTGAATGGAAGGGGGAAGAGTAGTCTAACCAAGTCACTTTCCTGCTTAAAATATTTTAGTCTTCCCACTGCCAGACGATAAAGTTTAAGCTAGACTTATTCCACATTAATCTCTCCTGACTGTACTCAAGCCCTCTAGTTATACTTTCTGGAATGTTCTCTAACACCCCTCCCACCATCCCATAACACCAACATTGTACACACTAATACACATTCTCTCACACGCTCATACAAATGCATACTATACCCCTTGCCCTGGTTAATTCTTACTCCAACTAAGCTATTTCAAGTCCTAGCTTAAACATCAGGGAGGACTTTTCTGATCCCACAAACTGAAAGATCCATTTGCTATAAGCTCTCATGACTCCTCTTTTAAAATAAAACAAAATGAAAAATCCTTCCCTTTTATAATTGTTTATTTAATAGACTTTCAGATGGTAAACTCCAAGAAATCAGGGGCCATTTCTGTCTTATCCATATGCTACTATAGTGTCACCACTTAATAAATTGGCACATAGGAGATGCTAATAAAAATTTATAAAATTTAATATGCAGATCCAATAAAATGAATGATGATAATTAATATTTATTGAGTGCAAACAAGCTTGGCATTTGCTTTCTAAGACCATAATATTAGAATAAGGGGGGCACCAGCAGTAGTAGCACCAATAAGTTGACTTGGGGTCTTTAGCAAGCCTTAAGCCAACTCCATCAGCACTCTTCTTCAGATGGTAGCAAATAAATACTCAGGTCCATAATCCCTACATGTTTGTTTGTTTTTTCCTCCTGGTTTTAACTAGATTTCTGTATTTTTTTACCTTGGAGGTCAAGACATCTTTATGACAGAAGAGTGGAAGAAATACTATAATGCAATGAAAAAGCTGGGATCTAAGAAACCACAAAGCCAATACCTCGGCCAGGGGTAAAAAAATACATATGTATATACGTATATATATCTTGAGCATGTGAATTTTCAAATTATTCTTAATTTGCCTTTAATGTACAACTATTTCTTAAACAGAATATTTTGAATTTTGAAAAAATTTTAACAAAATTGCTAATATTTTGGACAAAAGTCCTTATAAAACTTTATATATAAATATTTTTTAAAGTTTCTTTACCTATATTGTTGAGAATATTACAGATGTCCCCTTTTTACCTCCATTGATCCCCTCCACCCCGCATCCACCCCACCCCAGTCCCAAGCCTTCCCCAGACCAATGTCTGTGTCTATGTGTTATGCTTATAAACATGTAAGTTCTTTGATTAATCTCTCCCCACCCACTCCCTCATCCCTGCCTTCCCTCTGAGATCCCTCCGTCTGTTCCATGCTTCTATGTCTCTGGATCCATTTTGTTCATCAGTTTATTTTGTTTATTACATTCCACATATAAGTGAGATCATGTGATACTTGTCTTTCTCTGACTGGCTTATTTCACTTAGCATAATACTCTCCAGTTCCCTCCATGCTGTGCCAAAGGATAAAAGATCCTTCTTTCTTACAGCTGCATAGTACTCCATGGTGTAAATGTGCCACAGCTTTTTTATCCACTCATCTCCTGATGGGCGCTTGGGCTGTTTCTAGATCTTAGTTATTGTAAATTGAGCTGCTATGAACATAGGGGTGCATAAGTTCTTTCTGATTGGTGTTCCAGGTTCCTTAGGATACATTCCTAGAAGCAGGATCACTGGGTCAAATGGCAGGCCAATTTTTAATTTTTTGAAGAACCTCCATACTGTTTTCCATAGTGGCTGCCCCAGTCTACATTCCCACCACCAGTGCACTAGGGTTCCCTTTTCTCTACACCCTCGCCAGCACTTGCTGATGGTAGTCATCCTAACAGGTGTGAACTAATGCCTCATTGTGGTTTTAATTTGCATCTCTCTGATGATTAGCAACGTCGAACATTTTTTCATATGTCTCTTGGCCATCTGTATGTCCTCTTTGGAGAAGTGTCTGTTTAGGTCCTTTGTCCATTTTTTTGATTGGATCGTCTTCCTTTTGTTAAGTTGTATGAGTTCCTTATATATTTTGGATATTAACCCTTTATCAGATGTGTCATTGGCAAATATGTTCTCCCATACAGTGGGCTCCCTTTTCATTTTTTTGGTGGTTTCTTTTGCTGTGCAGAAGCTTTTTAGTTTGATGCAGTCCCATTTATTTATTTTCTCCTTTGTTTCTCTTGCCCTAGGAGATGTATCAGCAAACATATTGCTACGAGAGATGGCTGAGATTTTGCTGCCTATGTTTTCCTCTAGGATTTTTATCATTTCACATCTTATATTTAAGTCTTTTATCCATTTTGAGTTTACTTTTGTGTATGGTATAAGTTGCTGGTCTAGTTTCATTTTTTTGCATGTATCTGTCCAATTTTCCCAACACCATTTATTGAAGAGACTGTCTTTACTCCATTGTATGTTTTTGCCTCCTTTGTCAAATATTATTGACCATAATTGCATGGGTCAATTTCTGGGTTCTCTGTTCTGTTCCACTGGTCAATATATGTCCTTGTGCCAGCACCAGGCTGTTTTGATTACAGTGGCTTTGTAGTATAACTGGATATCTGGTATTGTGATCCCTCCAACTTTGTTTTTCTTTCTTAGATTGCTGTGGCTATTCGCGGCCTTTTTTTGTTCCATATAAATTTTCGAAGTGTTTGTTCTAGATCTGTGAAATATGCTGTTGGTATTTTAATGGGGATTGCATTGAATTTATAGATTGCTTTGGATGGTATGGACATTTTAATGAAGTTAATTCTTCCAATCCATGAACATGGTATATTTTTCCATTTGTTTATATCTCTCTTTATTTCTTTTTTCAGTGTCCTGTAGTTTTCCAAGTACAGGTCTTTTACATGTTTGGTTTATTCCTAGGTATCTTATTTTTTTAGTTACAATGGTAATTGGGATTTTTTTTTTAGTTTCTCTTTCTGAGAGTTCATTATTGGTGTATAAAAATGTCATCGATTTCTGGGAGTTAATTTTGTATCCTGCTACCTTGCTCAATTCATTTATTAAATCTAGTAGATTTTTGGTGGAGCCTTTAGAATTTTCTATATGCAATATCATGTCATCTGCAAATAATGACAATTTTGTTTGCTCCTTTCCAATTTGGATTCCTTTTATGTTTTCTTCTTGTCTGATGGCTGTGGCTAGGACTTCCAATACTATGTTGAATAAGAGTGGTGAAAGTGAACACCCTTGTCTTGTTCCTGTTCTTAGGGAAAATTGTTTTAGTTTTTGCCCATTGAGTATAAGGTTGGCTGTAGGTTTGTCATATATGGCCTTTATTATGTTGAGGTGTAATCCCTCTATTCCCATTTTGTTGAGAGTTTTTATCAAAAATGGGTGTTGGATTTTATCAAATGCTTTTTCTGCATCTATAGATATGATCATGTGATTTTTGTCTTTCAATTTGTTTATGTGATGTATCACATTTATTGATTTGTGAATACTGTACCAGCTTTGCATCCTTGGAATAAATCCCACATGGTCATGGTGTACGATTTTAAAAATATATGTCTGGACTTGATTTGCTAATATTTTTGTTGAGGATTTTAGCATCTATGTTCATCAGGGATATTGGTCTGTAATTCTATTTTTTTGTAATGTCTTTATCTGATTTTGGAATTAGGCTAATGCTGGCCTCATAAAAAGAGCTTGGAAGTGTTTTTTTCTTCTTGGATTTTTTGAAATAGTTTGAGGAGGATAGGGGTTAATTCTTCTTTGAATCTTTGGTAAAACTTCCCTGTGAAGCCATCTGGGCCAGGACTTTTGTGTGCTGGGAACCCTTTGATTACTGCTTCAGTTTCATCAGCAGTTATCAGCCTATTCAGGTTTTCTAACTCTTTCTGATTGAGTTTTGGAAGGTTATATTTTTCTAGGAATTTGTCCATTTCATCCAGATTGTACAGCTTGGTGGCATATAGTTGTTCATAGTATTTTCTTACAATCCTTTGGATTTTGTTGAGTCAGTTGTTATTTCACCTCTTTTGTTTCTGATTTTGTTTATTTGGGTCCTCTCTCTTTGTTTCTGATGAGTCTGGCTAAAGGTTCATCAATCTTGTTTATCTTTTCAAAGAACCAGCTCTTGGTTTCATTGATCTTTTGTATTGTGTTTTTAGTCTCTATGTTATTAACTTCTGTCTGATCTTTATTATCTCTTTCCTTCTACTTTGGGCTTTTCTTGTTGTTCTCTTTCTAAGTTTTTAAGTTGGAGGGTTAGAGTCTATCAGAAGTTTTTCTCTGTTTTTTGAGGTAGGCTTGTATTGCTATGAACTTCCCTCTCGACTGCTTTCATTGTGTCCCATAGATTTGGAGTTGTTGTGTGTTCATTTGTTTCCAGGAAGTTTTTTATTTCTTTCTTGATCCCTTTGGTAACACAGTCATTGTTTAATAACATGCTTTTTAACCTCCATGTGTTTGAATGTTTTTTAGTGTTTTTATTGTAGTTGATTTCTAATTTCATGCCATTGTGGTCTGAGAAAATGCTTGATATGATTTCAATCTTCTTGCACTTGTAGAGACTTGTTTTGTGTCCTAACATGTGGTCTGTCTTTGAGAATGTCCCATGTGCTCTTGAGAGGAATGTATATTCTGCAACTTTGGGGTAGAATGTTCTGTAAATGTCAATCAAGTCTATCTCATCTAGTGGGTCATTTAGGTTTACTGTTTCCTTGTTGATTTTTTGTCTGGAATACCTATCCAATAAAGCCAGTGGGTGTTAAAGTCCCCTAGTATGACTATATTGCTGTCCATCTCTCCCTCAAAGTCCTCTAAAAGTTCTTTTTATAAATTTAGGTGCTCCTATATTGGATGCATATAAGTTTATCAGGGTTATATCTTCTTGTTGGATTGATCCCTTTAGGATTATGTAATGAACTTTCTTGTCTCTCATTATGGTCTTCATTTTGAAGTCTATTTTGTCCAATATGAGTATTGCTACCCCAGCCTTTTTTTCATTTCCATTTGCATGGAAAAATTTTCCATCCCTTCACTCTCATCCTGTGTGAGTCTTTTTTCTGAGGTGGGTCTCTTGTAGACAGCATATATTTGGGTCATGTTTTCTTATCCATTCAGCTACCCAATATCTTTTTATTGGATCATTTAATCCATTTACATTTAAGATTATTATTGATAGATACTTATCTATTGACATTTTAATTCTTTATGCCTATGTTTTTCTCTCTCTCTCTATTTCTACTTCTAATTACAGCAGTCTCTTTAACATTTTCTGCAATTCTGGTTTTGTGGTGATTAATTCCTTTAGCCTTTTTTTTGTCTGGTAAGCTCTTTATTTCACAATTTCTCTTGAATGATAATTTTGCTGGATAGAGTAGTCTTGGTTTCAGATCCTTGTTTTGCATTACACTGAATACTTCATGCCATTCCCTTCTGGCCTATAGAGTTTCTGATGAGAAGTCAGATGACAGCCTTATGGGGACTCTTTTGTAGGTAACAGATTGTTTTTCTCTAACTTCCTTTAAGATTCTCTCTTTGTCTTGAATTCTTGGCATTTTAATATGATGTGTCTGGGCATGGGCCTCTTTGGATTCTTCTTGCTTGGGACTCTCTGTGCCTCTTGACTTTGTGTCACTTTTTCCTTCCCCAGATTGGGGACGTTTTCTGCCATTATTTCATCAAACAAGTTCTCTAACCCTTGCTTTTGACCACCTCTGGCACTCCTATAATGTGAATATTGTTATGTTTCATGTTGTCCCACAACTCCCTTAGACTGTCCTCCTGTTTTTTAATTGTTTTTTCTTTTTGGGTCTCTGATTAAGTGATTTTTTTTCTACCCTGCCTTCTAATTCAATGATCCGATCCTCAGCTTCCTCTAATCTGCTGTTTATTCCTTCCAATGTATTCTTTATTTCTGCTATGCCATTCTTCATTTCCTTCATAGTTTCCATATCTTTTTTCATGCTGTTGAGCATCCTTGCAATCAGTATTCTGAACTCTATATCTGATAGGTTGCTTATCTCTATTTCATTTGCCTCTTTTTCTGGAGACTTCTCTTGTTCTTTCATCTGGGGCTTGGTTTTTGGTCTCCCCATTTTGGCTGCCTGTTTGGGTTTGTTTCTAAGTATTAGGTAGATCTGCTAGGACTCTCAGTCTTTTTGGAGGGTCTCTGGTACAGGCCAATGTCAGACGCAGTTTGTGACTGGCCCTGAGTACCCTGTTTGGAGCTATCAACAACCCTCAGCTTGAGGTCTCCACTACTGGGGCTGGGTGCATTTGGACAGGACCAAGATGCACACCAAAGTCTGCTTTTCCAAGGTCCAGGTCCGGAAGCAGATCAGGCAAATACTCAAAGCACTCTAAGGTCTGCCTCTGCCTGCAGGTTGATTAATCTGATTCTCTTAATGAGCCTCAGGCTATAGAAGCTCCTCTGGGTAGGGTGAGAGATTTTCCTAGCAGGGTGGGACAACTGATTTCCCCCCTCAGGCAAAAGCAGCAAAATGTCTGCCTGAGAAAAATGTCCTCCATAGTCTGGGGGAATGCCTCAGCACAGGAATCCAGATGGGTACCCTCTAATCTCACTCTCCAGAGCCCACAACCCCAGACTCTCCCCACACAGCCCCTGTCCATTCTGCCCCTCCCTGTGCTGGAGCTCAAGGTGAGTGGCTGCACACAGAACTTTGTGCATTAGCTCTTTAAGAGGGCACCTGCAATTCGAGCCTTCATGCCAAAACTCATTTGGAGGTATTAATCTGATTTGAACTTATAAATAGTTATTTATAGTCTTCATTACTCTCACTTTGTGTGAACATGGGCTAGTTCTGCTGTGGAAATACTGATGTGCTTCATTATGGGATACTTCTCCTAACTCCACTGGGGGTGTAAGTAATTTACATGGAAAACACCACATCTCCTATGTAAATTCAAAACATTCTGAATGAGGAAGCACATCTGTGTCCAGGTTTACAGATAAGAAAAAACAGGGGGCTTACTCCCCAACTGTAGCTTCAAGATCTGTCCCAGCCAACTCTCCGGCCCTCGCCAGGTACTGCCTCTATACAGAAGCTAAGAGTTTGGTCACAGTGACTAAGACAAGAAAAATGTATGATGTAAACCTAAGAACTAAAATCAAAATAAAACAACACAACAACAAACCTTCTTCCATCAGCAGTGACAAAGGTCACCTTATCTTTGGTATATTGTTTTTAAGAAAGTAGAACGTGTAATACTTTCTAGAAAGATTATCATTTTCCTCCTCAAAAAATGTGCTTAAAGAGGGTAAACCTGGCAAGATGAAGAAAGATCAGTAATTCAAAATGTTCCCTGCCATCTGTGGGAAACTGATGCTCTTCTGAATTTACAAGAACAAAAAAATATGACGATGTGGTCACATGATGAAAAAAATGCCAGTCAAATAGTCCAGACATTACAATCTTTAGCATTCATGGGAGAACGTGATCATTTCAGGCTACAATAGGTAGGGATTGATTTTCAATATTGATAGAAATAAAAGGACTATTAACTACACTTATTTAGAAGTATATATGCTTCTCAAACTGGTGGGAGTGACAACAATAAAAAAGGACTTTGTCATCAATGGGAATTTTAAAGAAACTGACTTTTGCTCCTGGTTTAGAATAAGCTAATTATTATTTTTTATTATATCTTGCTTAGACCAAAGAAGGCATCTCTAAAGGTGATAAGTATTAATCCTTTGAATGGGTCCAGTTTCTGGATGGTTCTAGAGAATTCAGGTGACTTTCAGGAAGGCGGTGAGTTTCAGGTGGCACTTTGTAAAGTAAAAATCACTTGGAGAAATAGTTTCACAAGAGCTAGGGGGGTTTGAGGTGAGTGAAAATAGCCACTCACACTAGTCAAGGAGGCTTTACAAAGGGGAAACTGAAGGAAAACAAGCATAAACTTTTAATTAATAGGCTAGCAAAAACCAACCTTAAATAGCATGAAAGCAGTCTACTCAATGTTTAAATCAGAGCTAATTAAATTTTCAGTTTTATCAGAACCATAGGTGATTCTTTTTATGGAGTCTAGGTATTTGCCAAAACTCTACCAGGTTATTAAGGGTTGATTATAGACTACTTTGTATTTTCTAAAGAGATCTAAGTTATACATCTTCTTCTTTAAGTCCATCTTATATTCACATTAAATTCTTATTTTACTGAATTTTCCACACTATTTAGTATTAAATTTATTGGAACAGTTTTCATCTAAAAGCTGAACAATGTGTTTTTTCTGGGGAGACTTACTTCATAGACCAGAGTAGCCACGTTCCAGGGTTTCCGGTAGTAGGTCAAGGTGTTCCCATCTCGAACACGGTTACATAGTCCATTGTAGAACTCATTGTCGAAGGGCGTGTTTAGGGGAACCATCCCTAAGATGTTGATCCTGAGAATGAACACAGGAGCATCAGGTGAGGAGGTGCCAAGACAAGTGCGAGACAGCCCTCTGCAGCTGGAGAAAGAGAGAGCTTCGGCTCATGTCCCCATCACCTAATATGTGTGGGATATAATCAGAAACAGAAACAAGAGCCTGTTCACCTCTGCTTGTGTCTCTGGCAGACAATATACTTTAGGAAGGCCTTGTAGACTCTTTGAGGCAACTAGGACACTGTGGAGAGCACAATGAAAGAAATGCAATAAATGTGGAGCAAGGCACTATATGGAGCCTAGAGTCTTAACTTCATTGCTGTAACTCTTAGCTCACCTCCCTTAGTGAACTAAGAGCCAATACTGTAATTTCACTGTTTAAATTATTTGAGAACACAGCACCTCAGGGGGGCAGTATAACACATGCATGTAATTTTTAACCCGTGATTCAATATTGGGGCTCTTTCACTCTCTTTAAATCTAAGCCTTTTCCTCCAGTTTTCTCAGTGCCTGTCAAGAACCTCATTCCCTCTAGGCTTATATTATTCCTACATTTCCAAGAGGAACCCCAAAATTTCAGCATCTCGGTAAGTTCAGCATTCTCAGAAGTTCTATTTTTTTCTCCCAGCAAAATATTTTCATTTGGCAAGCCTTACCTCAGAAAGGGGAATCCTGTTTAGCTTTTAAAAAGTCGTTTGATTTGTAAAACAATTCAGATGATGACTTCAAGAGCAATTTATCAAAGGGTGTGGATGACTTACTATAAACCCACTGCTAATGCAAACAACAACAACAATAACAAATGCTGCAAGTGGGTTAGTTAAAAGCAGCATCTTTATATAAACAGGACATCCTTAATAAGCTTTGAATCTACAAAGAAAATGAATATTATAGCTCAAGTTTAGTAGAAGGCAAATTAAGAGACTAATTCAGGATTATCTTGCTCAAGGCTAACTGTATAGTTAAAATAAACCACTTCTCACTTTGTGGATGAATATTACTTATTGTTTTGCTAGAAAACAGACAGGGTTCAGTATCAATTTTATTCCTACTTTATTTGTATAGAAGTAAATGTGGAGAAACTTTCCTCACATAAAGAAGTAGAGAATAGAAGAAACTTTGTCACAGCAATGTCAGTCTGTTCTTTGATCTTCTGAGTTTTAGGCCAAGACGTTTCTTTCATCACATACTAGTCTTTGATCAAAAATCATTTTTATAGTCCATTATCTAACAATTGATTAGGATATTTTTACTGTTGTTGATAAAAAGAATTTGAGACCACTGGACTTACAAAGTGCTAGAGTCCAATCCGGCGTTAACATTTGGAGTTGCTTCTCATTTTTTCCACCCCATTGTAAAATGTGAGGTGGGTGAGGGGTGCAGCCTTCTTTTGAAAAGTGGGAATGAGATGATTGAAAAAGGGGAGGTGAGAAAGGAGAATGGGCTTGACAACTGGAATGCCACTGAGTCACCAATCTTATCAATTTTATGCGAAATATGTATGTATGGAATTGAGAATTTACCATGAATTAGATTAGATAAGTAACTTTTATCTTAAAATGTGCCAGTCTCTCTTCCCCTTGGGAAGTCTTTTTGCACCCCATGGTACCCATATCCCAATTGGAAGGTTATAGATTTAGAGATCAGCAAGTTGACCAGTTGACTGGGTCCATCTGGAAAGTTACAATGAGGCTGCTCCATGGGTCTAAAGCACAACTAAAGGAGAAATGTTACAAAACTTTTGACTTGGTTCCACTACTACAGAGACAGTCAGTCTAGTCTAAAATGAGCCAATTTCTTTCTGCCAAGAAACATGAAAACCCCTCACAGATTGAATGTCATCGCCTGGGAAGTGAAAAAAACACACGTGTTCTTTGGCAGCACTTAGGATGCCTGTTTCACACCTGCATCTATAACCACGGGAGACTCCAATTTACCAGGTGAACTGAAGAGAAGGTCCCTCCAGCAAAGCTGCGTTATGCTGAGATCACACACAAAAAGTAATTCCTTGCTTCTTGTACATTATTTGCAGCTGGTTTGCATTTATGTTTTTTTAATGAACGCTAGATGGGTTGGAGATTTCCCTAAACCTTTCTGGAGAGTCTCAGATGCCTACAAGACAACAGCCTGAAATGTTTGTGATACAATGTTTCTCCTGGCATAAGAGTTTAAATGAAGGTCCTTCAAAAAAAACAAACAAACAAACAAACAAACAAATATCCTTCAAATGTAAAAAAAGCAGAGTATAAATTAATTACTGAGTACTTGTGACTTTCATGTATAAAAGGATCTGACTGGATATGACTATTGCTAAGACTTTTTGAGGTTTTCCAGACTGGATGGTATAAAAGCAGTTTACAAGTATATTGCTATGATTAGGATGTTTGCATCTATTACCTCTATTTCAATATGGCCCCACAGCCCTGTGTTAGAATAATGGAGGTGTATAGTAAATAAATATGTAAAATTAACAGTATGGAAGACTATCATAAATATAATAAAGCATGTTCCATCGATACCTCTCCTTAAATATTAATTACTAACTTATAAAACATTTAGATAATAAATACTACTTGAGTTTTATTTTCTAACGTTACTTTTGCTTTGAAGTTAGGGTGTCAGCTGGTTGGGAGGGGTGATGTGCTGCTGTGGGGCTGGGCATGTGGGGTGAAGGAAAGGTAAGTGGCATGGTGGGGAAAATACAGGTTATGCTCCCTGTCATCACCCTGCCGGTGGTGAAACATGAGGTTCTTCAGGAGCCCGGGCCAGCTCTCTGGGATGCTCTCTGGCAAATGCTATATAACAAATTTCCTTTTCCCTGAACAAAGGAAATCAAAAGATGATAAATAATTGTTTTTCAGCTAAATGGGCCAAGATTTCTGTACCCTTTTCCTATAAGACACGATGTAAATTTGCATTAAGTGAGAATACATAACATATGTAATTCCCTGCTTCAAGCCCTTTTATTTAGATTAGGGAGAAAACTGTTTCTTGGATCCCAAGTAAAGCAAAATAAAGTAATAATGGGTTTTCACCACTCCCAGTCTCTCCCCGAGGAAAGCAGCAAGAAGAGTCAGAACTCATTGGAGCATGCAGTGGTCTGGTTATAGGTTTCGGCCCCATACCATTTCCACCAATTATTAAGAGGGCCTGCTGAGTTTGGAACCCCAGGCCATCTATTTGATTCAAAATTCCTACCTTTAGGCTTAAGGCCAGAGGCACTCTGTGCGATGTTTGAATGCTGCTTGCTTGGAAGGATTTTATAAAGTGAATAGAAGGTGTATGAGATGCTTTAATCTGGTGCCCAACTCTTGGCATCCTGGATTTTTCTCTTACGTGACTGAGGAGGTGGAAGTTTCCTCTGACTTAGAGAGAAGGCATCTCCATTTTTTACAGAAATCTTAGGAACGGTCTATTTCTATTTCTTTAGTGTAGGGTTTCTCAACTTCAGTACTACTGACATTTTGGGCCTGACGGTCCTATGCATTGTAGGGTCTCTACCCACCAGCTATCACTCCCACAAGCCTCACCATCCAAACCCTTAACAGTTGTGGTCATCAAAATGGTCTTCAGACATCACCCAATGTCCCCTGGGGAGAATATCACCTCTGGTTGAGAACTGCTACTTTAGTCCCTCTGTTAACAGTGCTCTTGCCATTACCCCCATCTTCTTTCCTCTCCCCATCTCCATTCCCAGGACCGGAGTCTTGAACCTGAATTTCTTTCTAGGAACTCAGTTTCAGTCTTACCTGATGTCAATTAATAATATTTTAGAAAGCACTTATTTTCATTAGTTAATTTATTTACCTATGTATCTACCCATCAGTATTTGTTAAGCACCTGTGATAAACCAGGCACTGCTTTCAGGGGATGAAATAGAGCCATGTGCCATCTCTGTCAATATACTACTAGATGGGGAAGAGCTATGTCTCTGTTGAGGATAATTTGTCAACAAAGCGACCCAAAGTATCTTTACTGCTCAGAACAATGAATGGAGATTACGCTGTGGATGTCTGTGGAATGTCCTCTGACTACATGGAACAGAACTAAATATCAGGCCGGTATCACTCCCCCAACTCCTAGAACACAGATCTCTGCAAATCGTATCTATTCTGTATAACTCTGAGTTCTAAACTGCCCAAGACTGTATCAGAGCTTACCTTCCAGATGTTCTGTATGGAAAATGAGTGAAACTTCAGCTCTGTAATGAGAACCACAGTCTCAACACTATCTCCAGCTGTCATTCAAATGGCTTTCTCTGTCCTATTCCTCTTGGGTCAACTCCAGAATGCTGGAACCTCCTGAGAATTTCTAACCAGGTATAGATGCAGGAAAAGTTCCAAAGGAAAATAGTCTTCCTGGCAATTCAAACATTTGAACGGAATTGCCAGACCTACTACGACTCAATTTTAAATGTAACTGATCATTTCACCATTGCTATGATCTTCCAGAGGTTCATAAATGAGGTATTTTATCTTCTACTGGACTCAGAAGTCATCATCTAATCTTGATAGTCTAGTCTGTTCTATAGACACCTACTGAGGTTAGGCAGTTGGTCTAAATTATTTTGAAATAATTACTGAGCTCTTACCCGCTTTCAAGCTCAAACGTAACTCAAGCAGAATACAGACCCATGGGCTGCTCTTTCTACCAATGAAAACCCTGCACCACTTTAGCTGGGCAGGAGAGATGGAGATGGTTTCCCTCAGCTTCCTCCAGAACATTCATGTGGAGTACTGACCCAAAGCCTGCTGTTCGCCCCATCTCGGACTCTTCCACCACTCGGTCACGGCAGGGCTTACGTGGATCATTTTCACAATTATCCTCATCTGAATAGTCTCCACAGTCATTGTCGTCATTGCACAGAAGTCGCCTCTTTATGCACCGGCCTGCAGTCGAAATCAGGAAAGACAGTGTGTGTCTAAGGCCAAATTTCCTCTCTCTGAAGTTATCAGGAGCAATTTCATGCTGGAGGGGAGGGAGCATGCATACAGTTGACTACAGAATATACAGCATATATAGAGCACCCATTGGAGGCCCCCTCACTCATGAGTGCACACAGAAACACACAATGAGCAGTCAGAGTGCAAGGATTACCTGAATCACATTTAAAGTCATTTCCACAGTCATCGTCAGCGTCTTCACAGTTCTCAGTGGGCACACACTGTTGTCTGTCTCCCAGGCTGGCCAAGCACCTTCGCCCATTAAATTGTCCAAAGGTCTCAATGCTCCTTGAGCGAAACTGCACAAAACCAGTTGGAAATGTTAGAATTTCTAATTCCAAAAAGGGATTATCATCTGAAATTGCACCCACTCCACTGCAGCCCTCCAAACCCACATGAGTCTACGGTTTTCAGATGGGAGCCACTAAGGCAGTCACTAATATTATTTAAAGGAACGAACACCTCACATTCTAGAGCTGGCAGTCTCTTCTACAGAAGATGGCTCCTCATGACACTCATTTAGTGTGTGTGCAACTTTCAGATTACCCAGCAAGGTTACCCATATTCATTTAGAGATTTATCTTTCCTTCTCAGTTTGCAACTTGGTTGGAGGCTCCCTGCCTTATAGTCATTTCCTTGGAGATGCTGGCAATGCACTTTCCATCTGACATCAGCAGGGAACAGCATTGAAGGCTTACCCTTTGTTTTAGGCAAGGATCACATGGCGACCATTCGCTCCAGGGGCTCATCCGGCAGTCTATGGGCGGTGGAGTGCCGGTCCTTTGTTCTGGCTTTGTAGCATAGCTGAGATAACAGAACACATCAGTTTTTCATGGCCATTACGGATGCCTGTTTCCAAGAAGACCTCACAAAGCAGTTTAATTTATTTCCTATTTTTCCCCTTTCCAAATCATACTACTTATCTTTTTGTTACATCTCTCATTACTTGAACACTTGACCACATAACCATTTTGGATTAGCAACTCATCTTTTTTGTTTAATTTTTGTACTGAACTGTAACTTAACTTTCAACCTAACAACAACAAATATGAGGACGGTGAGAAAAACTAGCCAGGCACCCTGCTAGTTGTCTTATATTGATTAGCCTTATATTGCCAGCTAGTTTATGACGTCACTGAAGCTATACACCTTGTTTCACTTTGTACCCCACAGACAGTCTGGCAAAGCCTGGAGCTGCTGCAGATGCATGGCAGGGGCGTGGCCATTCCTGAAGCAAGCACCTCGCAAACCAGGCCTTCCCACCCCGCCTCCTGCATTTCCTAAACCGAAGCCTCACCGCTTCACCTTCCACCTCGGAATTCTTCTTCATCTTTCTGCATTTTAGCATCCTGGGTCTGGGCAGTGATAGCCTTCCCTCCCTCTCCCAGGCCCAAGCTCAGCAGTGCTTTCCTGGCTTTGAACTTTCCTTTCTCTCGGGTCACCATTTGGAACTCTTCTGGTTGCAACATCACCTCTCATTCATGACAGAAAATAAAAGGCCCAAACAGAAGCCACCAAACAAGAACCCTATCAGCTTCCGGCCTCCACGCCCCTGAGCTACCACCTATTCTTTTTACAGTGCAGCCTCTTACTCAAGGGGGGTGACAAGTTCAAACTAACCCCTTCACACAAGCTCTAGACCCCAACTCCTTTTTGAGACCGTGATCCACTGACTATCTCCTCCTTTTAAAACGCTCCCTCATTTCAGCTCCTTTCCATTTGTGGTAAAATGTGTATAAGTCTTTGACATCAAGTATAAACAAGCAGAGGAATGAGCCAATGAAAACCTCTTTCTGAACTCTGTTTCCTTTTAGCAATCACCCGTCTCCCTTCACAGGGACACTGAAAGGAACTGCTATAAACCTGTTTATGCTTCTCTCTCAACCCAAATAAAAATAGTTTCATCTCCTCCTTCAACCCTACATGACCCTTCTCCCAAATTCATCTTTTTAAAAATTTATTATTATTATTATTTTTTAAATATATCTTTATTGATTTCAGAGAGAGGAAAGGAGAGGAAGGGAGGGAGAGAGAGAAACATCAATGATGAGAGAGTCATTGATCGGCTGCCTCCTGCACGCCCCCAACTAGGGATCGAGCCCACAACCCGGGCATGTGCCCTGACCGGGAATCGAACCCTGACCGCCTGGATCCTAGGTTGATGCTCAGCCACTGAGCCACGCCCGGCCAGGCCCAAATTCATCTTTTTAGCCAACTCTCTTGAAAAAGTAGTGTGCATCCTGTTTTCTTGTTCCTTACCTCCCAGTCACTGCTCAACCCTCCTGCCTCAATGACACTGCCCTTGCCAAGGTCAACGATGGCGTCCAGGTGGCTCATGTGGTTCCTTTCTGTCGTTATGTTGACTTCTTCCCAGAGGTCAATGCAGTTGACCACTCTTGCTGCTTAGAACACTCCCTTCCCTTGGGCTGAATGACACCAGGCTCCTTTCATTTCTTCTTTCTCCTCTGCCTTCTTCTCCAACTGTCCTGTGCAGACTCTTCCTCCTTTGATTGTCTCTGAAATCCTGTTTTTCCTCAAGATCCTGTCCTTTTATGTTTTCCTCTTTACACTTTTCCCAGGGCTTTGATTTCCATGTATATGCTAATGACACTCAGAGATAAGTCTGCAGTCCACACATCTTTTTTGAATTTTAAAAGCTTGGATATAACTCCAATTGGACATCTGCACTTAAATGTCTTTGTGGCTCATAGAACTCAATGCATCCCAAAACCAAATTCTTTATTTTTTCTCTTCTCTCAAAGCTGCTCCTCCTCCTGCATTGACTATCTGGGTAAACAGCATTTCCATTTATGCGGTCACCCTAATTAGAGACTTGGGTATAACTTGTCTCTTCCTGCATCCCCCATGCTCATCTCCCATATCTAAGACTGTTGCTTATAGTCTCTTAAGTGATTCTCAACTCTATCTATGCTTCATCTCATCTAGTGTAGGCGTTTCTTTGGTCTACACTAACATGCCATCCCTCCTAGATGACAACAGTTTCTTTCTAATCCAGTTTCCATAAATTATCCAGAGGGATTTTTAAAAAATGCAAAGTTGATCACACCATTCCCCTACTGAAAACCTTTCAGTAACTTCCCTTTGCTTTTAAGGTAAAGTTCAAATTTTCCAACATGGCGTGATAGGGAGAGTAATGACACCAAAGATGTCCATGTCCTAATCCCCAGAATTTGTGAAGACTATGTTGCTTTACATGGAAGAGGGACTTTGCAGATGTGATTAAAAGGAAATTATCCTGTATTATTTGGGTGGGCCTATTCCAGATATGTGAACTCAAAAGCAGAAAAGTGGTTCAGAGAGATGTGAAGACAGAAGAAGAGGCAGGCAAAATTCAAAGCACGGAAAGGGAGTCCACCAGCTGTTGCTGGCTCTGAGGATGGATGGAGGCCATGAGCCAAGAAATCGAGGCAGCTTCCAGGAGCTGGAAGAAACAAGAAAATGAATTCTCCCCTAGAGCCTCCAGAGAGAAACATGGCTCTGCTGGTGCCTTGATTTGAGCCCAGTGAGATCACTTCAGACTTCTGATCTATAGAATTGTAAGATAATAAATTTGTGTTTTTTTAAGCCCCTAATTTGTGGTAATTTGTTACAGCTGCAATAGGAAACTAAGACACATGGTCTATAGAACTGTACATGGCTATCTCCTTAATTCTTCAACTTCATTTTCTCCATACTGAACTTGAAATTTTCAAGATAAGTTACTTTTTTCATGCCTTCAGGCCTTCCAAACTGTTATTTCAGATTCACCATACTGATGTCATCTTGGACTTATTTTTCCCGAGAACCTTCTTTAATCTTCTGTGTAATTTACTTTTCTATGTACATATTTCTATAACATCTTGTTTTTCCCTACCTCATAAGCACCTTTGCAATGATATGTTTCATTTAATTAATTTACCTTTTCACTCATTTGTCCATTTATTTATTGATTCATCAAATATTTGTTAATCACCCACAATTTGCTATGCATCAAGATATAATAGTGTGCAAAACAGCAAAACAAAATAAAACAAAAACCATGATCCCCACACTAACAGAGCTCATGTTCTAGATAAAAATATCAGGGAATTAAGAAAATTTTAAATCTTGTTCAGCTTGCATATATCAAGTTCCTAGAACATAGTTGGTGCTCAGTACATTTTTTTTAAAAACAAATAAATGAATAACTAAGTGCAGAAGGGGAAGTCCTTGATTATTTTGTCTTGGACAGTTGGCCTGTATTTCTCTAGGTTATGATCTCCTGGTGAACCATCCAAGTTGTATTAGTGCGAGAATTGCTTGTCATTAATGTTGGCTTCATGACTGGAGACAACATTTTCGTAAGCCTGACTCTTTCCTACACCATCCAGAAAATCAGGAAGCCTGAAGAACATCAAACTTTCAAAAGTACAGATTAAATTGTATTATGCAGGCTGCCAAAACTTTTTAAAGAAACTGTTTTCCTGGAAGTCCTTGTGTATTTGTGTATATTTGTGTATATCTGAAACCACATGGCTGAGAAATTCTCTGCTAGAACTTTTCCATAAAACTAAGGTGGCATCCAGAACTCACGGCCTCATCGAGGGGCAATGGAAGAGTCCCCTTTAAGATCTGGAGCATTGATTTTCAATATTGATTGCATATTATATGAAACATAGGGATTGTAAAATCATGATCCTTACTCCAATTTGAAAAAAAAAATATGCCAAGTGACTCCCATGTTCACACAATGTTGAGAAACACCAGTTGGCAACATCTGGTGGACATCCATGAAATCTGAAAGGGTGTTGTTCAAGTGGGGGGTGGTCATTATATCAAGAGAACTCAAGCTTGAGGTGACAGTTGACATGAAAATGGCACTGATCTGGTCTGATTGATTATAGGAATTACTCTAGGTTCTACCTATTAATGTCTCTCTAGATTTTTTCAATATCTTCTAGTTTCTCCACTATGAGTGCTGTTGCCTTCAACTGGATTATCTGCTCCTGTCTATCTTTTTTGTATTCATCATTTACTTAGATGATCATATTATCATTTTAACATCTCCCTGTGTCCTCACATGATCATTCCTCTGTATGTGTCTGTGTTCAGATTCACTTTTCTTATAGGGACACCTGCCATATTGGATTAGAGCCCATCCTAATGATCCCATTTTAATTTAATAATCACTTTAAACACCCTATCTCCAAATACAGTCACATTCTGAAGTACTAGGGGTTAGTACTTCAACACGTAAATTTTGGGGGGGTACACAATTCAGCCCATAACACTCAACAAATACTGTTTGATAAAGCAGTTTCTTATATTTGTCTACTAGTTTTACTAGACAATTTTCAAAGTGCATTTTCTCATTAATCTTTTATGCCACTGAGGGTATTAGTTCTGTTTTACATATGGGAAACTAAAACCAGAAAATCATCCTACTTACCCAAAGTTGAACAGTTAGTACACAACTGGATCTAGAATCTTCACCTCTGTACTCCTAGTTCACTGAAATTTTGCCCTGTCTCCTATGCTACCTTTCTCCCCTCTGACTCACTCAAATACTCTTTGAAATAATCTAAAAAGCCATAGCTCACTCAATAATTTCTAGACGTAACAGTCTCATGACTTTTAGACATTTTGAGATAACAAGGACATTTGCATGAATAAGGATACATTTTTTTTTTCAGTGCAACAGCTCCAGGTAAAGCACATCAATTGGACAACCTCATTCTTGCCTTGATGTGAGCAAGGAGTTATTTCTGGGGTCTCTGTCCTATTGCATTGACCTCTATCTCTGGTTTCATGCCAGCACCACACAGTTTCCATTATTGCAGCTTTGTAGTATAGCATCATATCAGGGAGTGTGATACCTCCCACTTTGTTCTTTCTCAAGGTTTCCTTAGCTATTTGGGGTCTTTTGTGGTTTCATATCAATTTTAAGATTAGTTGTTGCCATTGGTGTTTTAATGGAGATTGCAGTGAATCTGTATATTACTTTAGGTAGTAAGGACATTTTAACAATATTAATCCTTTGACTCCATAAGCATAGTATATCTTTCCACCTATTTGTGCTATCACACACTGCTGTCAAAAGTGCAAAACAATACAAACCCCACAGGGCCATGGGGCAATTCCAGCGATTGATTACCTTTTGACCCAGTTATATCGTTTCTGGGAATTAGCCCTCAGGTAAGATAACCTGCTTGCAAAATGATAGATGAATAAGGCTATTCATTACAACACTGTTTATAACACAAAAGACTGGAAGCAACCCAAATGTTCAATAAAAGACAGGTTATCTCAATGGTATAGCCACACAATGGGAAATTAACCGGGTGTGCAGGGAATGAGGAAGTTCCTTCTATACTGATGCAGAAAGGTCTCCAGAACATATAGTAAAGAACAAAGGTAAAGCTAAATATGAGATAGTATATATGATACCTTGAAAAAGAAAGGGAGAGGGAAGATTACAAGCTAATAAAGGGGGCTACCTACAGGGGAAGGGTGGGGTGGATGCCAGGTGTTCTAAGTACTTTACAGATAGTCACACATGTCTCATGAAAAGTTATGAGTAGGGAAATCAAGACTGCTTAATGTCTATCTCATTATAGTTTTGGTTCTTTGACCCATGTGAATATTATGCTATTTACAAATTAAAAAGAAAGGCATAATGATAGCTACATTCATTGCACACTTACCACCTGCCTGCCTGTCGCAGGGCTAAGCCCGTCACTGGGCTAAGCACATTGCATCTATTATCTCAGAGATTTCTCCCAGCAGGTCACATTTTTATTACCGCTTTTCAGGTGAAGAGCAGAGTAAGAGAAGTTAAGGAATTTGCTGAGGGTCACATAGCTAGTAAATCGTGGACCCTGGAATCAAACGCAGGTCACCTGGCTCCAGGATCTATGTTATAAGCTCTTATGGTATTAGCACAGTGGTTTCCAACACTTCTACCTTGAGAAACATAAGAGATGATATACCCCTCACGACCTATTCTCCAGGACACACTCGTGCTTGCAAACAAATGATCAATGAAAATCCCCCATGGTTCACCAGTAGCAATAGCTCTCAGTAACTGTGGCTTCCTGAAATGTCTGCAGCTGCGTGATATCCCCTGAATGCTGGCCGTGACTCCATCCCTTCCTCTCCTAAACCAGAAAGCATAGCAAAGTGAAAGTAATAGCAATGTTATTATTTTAAAGGACATTTCACATGTGTCAAGGTCTTACCATGTGGCAGGCACAGATGTTGTGAGTATATCACATTTATAACATTGAGCCTCCACAAGAAACCTTATTAGGTTAAGAGATAAATTGTTGAAATTCTAACCCCCGCACCTCAGAATGTGACCTATTTGGAAAGAGGGGTTTTTACAGAGAAAAATCCAGTTAAAATGAAGCCATTAGGGTGGGCCCAATTCGGTATGACTGGTGTCCTTATCAAAAGAGGAAATTTAGAATTAGACAGACATGCACAGAGGGAAGATGATGGGAAGATGACCACGTGATGACAGAGCGAGATTGGAATGATGTAGCTGCAAGCCAAGGAATGCCAAGGACCGCTGGCCACCACCAGGAACAAAGAAGGATCCTTCCCAGAGTCTCAGAGGGTGCGCGGCCCTGCCCGCGTCTTGATTTAGGATTTCTAGCTCTAGAACGGTTAGGCAATACATTTCTGTTGCTTGAAGTCACCCAGTTTGTGATACTAGGAAATGCATACAATCACTGTCTCACAGGTAAGGGAACAAAGGTTTAGAGGGTCTGAATAACTTGCCCAGACTCACATGGTCAGTTTGTATGTCATGGCCCCTTGAACTGAGTTTGGGAAGTCTAGGGCTCCATTCTAATCAAATTCATATTTTAAACAATTCTTTGCAACTTGATTCTCTGGCTGAACCATGTGTCTCACTTCAGGACTGATCTGAACACTCTGTTTTGACCTCAGCCCTGAACCAAAGGGTGGAGCAGGGGGTGTTCGGAGCAGGGCAACCCTAACAAACTCTCGAGGGCACGGCAGTGGGAGCGCGGGAAGCCACGTCCAGCTGAGCAGTGCAGCTGCTGGAGCTGGGGGCCAGCCAGGGGGTTCTCTGGTCCTCCTTGAAGCAGCTGAGCATGGCCAGGACCCGGGGGGTACAAACTTCAAAGCAGCTGAAGCCTTCCCTGCAGCCTCTCATTTTTAATCAGCGGGAGTCACAATCCAGGAATGTGGGTTGTTAAAATTATTTTTTTAACTTAAGAAAGGGTCAGAGTAAGTACAAGAGGGCTTAAAGCAACTTCAGGAACTGGGTCCCCAGCTCTGCTTTGTGCCTGAAGCCCAGCAAGTTAACATATTATCTAAGTGGAACAATGCTGCTCAGATCACTTGGGAAGATGGAGAAATGGGTTGAAGGGAAGCCTGGAGGAGCACCTGACTCAAGCCCTGGCAGGTCTGTGTAGCATCTCCAGGTGCCCCCTCCTGGAAGATGAAGCCCTGTGAGTGAGCCATGTGCCCAGGGGGTCCAGGCAGAAGGCAGCCTCCACTGCAGCCATGAGTCAGCCAAAGAGATGCTTCAGATGGACATCAGAGTCCAAAACAGAATTAATTTAAACCAAGAATCAAATGACCAAAGAAGAATGGAACACAGATCATAGTTAGGTCTGGGCAGAGGGATGGTGTTTGGGAAGATAAATTCCCCAGCTTTTCTATCAAAGCCCCAAATATTTCAATATCGTCATCAGATCAGATCATGCTGTGTGGGGTCACACGGGTCTGTCCCCCAGCAGTTCTGGGTACAGTGTAGATGTTCAGTACTGTCTGGCTGGTTTGTTTCCTGGGCCAGCTTGGCATGGGCTTCCTGTTTCCAATTAGGGTCAGAGCAAAAGGAGAGAAAGTAAGTCTTTGCTGGGAGCATGGCCACCAGGTCTGCACTATGGTCATTCTTTCTGAATGGAAGCAAAGCCGCCTAACCCGAAGGACAAAGTGTGTGCCTTGGGACATCAAGGAGGGCGAACAAAGGTGGTTAATTTGCCTAACATGGAGGCCAGTGGGAGATGGATTCAATAGTTCACTGTTAGACACTGAGGCAAAGCGTGGGAAAGATTGATTTCCTTAGCTTTAAACCTCCTAGGCATTGGACACTGATAAACCCAGGTTTATGATACTCTAGTAAAAATCACCTGTCTCAGAGCTCCAAGTACTTAAAGACTGTCTGGGCCTTAGCATTTGACTACCTTGTTTCAAAGAAATCCTTGGGAACAGCAGCAGGGTTCCTAAATTGCAGAGACAAACGGAAGGGCGACTCACCTGGGAGTGGGCCCAGCTGTCAGGACGCTGACGTCTAACGCGCAGATCAACAACGCAAGAGCGAAGCCCCGGGTGGCCCACATCTGCTCTGGCCGGGCAGCTCCGAGTGGAACGGCCGGACAGGTCCCCGGAGGCTCTTTTTAGCACAGGGCGACCGTACGGGAACAATTGTTTGTTTTTGATCAGGTTTTGGGTTGAATTGCCTTCCTGGGTGCAAAGTCCAATCAAAGGAGAGACATTTCATAATTCTTGGACTTCTGTTTTCTCGTATTGGCAAGTAGGTCCAGGCAACGCACCTGTGAATGCTAAATGGGCTGAGATTAGCCACAGGGCTGTGTTATAACAACAGAGCAAACAAATGAACAAACACACAAACACACCCTAGTGGTGCTCATCTTCAAGGACTCCAAGAGGGAAAAGGGAGTGTGTAATTTGGGGAAAAAAGGTCTGTGCATGATTTCCACAGAGGCATAAACTCACAGTTATAATAAAACTGCACTGACTCAAGACTTCCATGGCCTCTCTGGACACAGCCAGGATGCCTAAGGACAGGACAGGGAAGCAGGCAGGGCTGGGTGATGTCTTATGCTAATTAGAATTAATACTAATTGCTTAGGTTTTGTGATAATTGACTTGATAATTAGGTGTGACTGGAGATTGAAAACCTACCTCTGTCCTTGGAGTCTCACTGGGGGGGAGATGGGGAGATGGAGGTGAGGGGGGATTTCTCCGACAACTGACCTGAATGCTGAAATGCTCTGTGGAACTCATATTTATCTTATTCCCCTGGTTCAGGGTGAATGTAATGTAGCAAAGTAATGGGATCAATAAAGTATAATAATAATATATTATTATAATTATCATGTCATAATTATAAATAGTATACTATACCTTTTTCTTCTTTGCCCTTAACATCTATCCGGTATCTGACATGTTCTGAAATGAGGTTCATGTTTCAATGTCTGTCTGGGGTTAATGAAGCATCACGATGCACTAGACTAGAAAAGTGAAAATAATAAAATTTTTCATTAAAAAACACTTAAGGGCTTCCAAGGAACAGAACAGATAAATGTTTTTGTCCATCACTCACCCCCAGCTGTGAGTAACTAGAATTTGAACTTGGGGTGTCTGGCTCTGCATCTCAGGCTCTTCCACTCACTGCAGCATGAGCTCTGCTGTTGTTGTTATACTTATGTCATGTTAAACAACATGACACTGGAAAATGCCTCCCTAAATCCTCTCAGTTCCACGGAAGTAAGTGTTCAGTGTGGTACAGATGAGGCTCAGAGAATATAGCCGAGGCTGCGCACAAAGAGGTGGCAGAGGTGGGATTGGAACAAACCATGTCTTCAAGCACTAATTCCAGGCCTTTTCACTATGTTGAGGCTGCTCAAACTTTTCACACTCAGGAGCCTTTAAAAATATTTTTTAGGTTCCCCTTGGTTTTAATGCACTTGGGAACTTCTGTTACTAAATTTTATTTATTGCGTAATAATAATTCTTTTCTCCCATTTTTAAGGCAGAAACATGCACACGTGTACATTAGAATATATGACTACCAGGCGGGAACACTTAATTTTTACTGAGGTGATACAAATGTTTTGAGTGTAATTTCCATTTAACTCTTTTAAAGTGATAGAAACAGTTTTTTGAAAGTTTGTTATTAGTCATTTCATGGACTTCCTTAGTATGCAGGGACCTCAAGTTGGGAACCGCCACCTTATTCCATACCTGACTCTAACCGAATCCCCAAAGATCCGTGGGTCTTGCAACACTAGAAGGAGATAAATTGTGGTACTTTTACTTACAACCCATGCACTTGCTGGAGGTAATGAGAATCCCAGGGAGAACTTGGAGATGGCTGTCCATGGCAGTCCACCTGGTTTTAGGCATGTCTTGCTTACCACGATGCCCCTGACATCTAGGATTGTGCCTGGCACACATTAAGCTTTGATAGATATTGTGAGTTACCTGCATTAACAGACGAATAAATGTATTCAGATGGGGAATATGGTTTCCTGCGGGTTCCTTTCAGCTTCCCTGCATCTCAGTTAAATCTCAGAGGATGAGCGAGCCTGTTTTGATTTAGGAAAATCTAGCTTTGTATACTTAGAACTGGACTTTCCAGGGTTCTGTTGCATTAGTTGCTCTCTCTTATTTCCTTAATTTCTTCATTTTGATTGGTTCCTTCTCATGCTCAAATCTATTGCATCTTTAAAGACTTGTACCTGTTTTCTTGATTTCCTTTTATTGACAAGAGCCTTGTTAGCCAGATCAGGCAGTCTGCATCGACTATTACTTTCCGGTGTGGCTGCACTCGCCCTCCTGCAGGCTGCCTTCTGACTCACTCCGCGGAAGATCTATTGCTGAGCCTGACGGGCAGCGCCTGGCCCTTCTATTCGCTGCACGGAGGCATTTAGCCCTAGTGCCATCCTTATGCTTTAAAGCTCTATTCCTCTGGCTTCATCGAAACAGCAGCTCCTGTTCTTTCGCTTCTTTTCACCAACCCTCTGCCTCATCCTACGCGGCTGCTGTTCCGCAGAGGTCGGGCTCTGCCTGCTCCGCGTTGAATCTGTGCCCCTTCCTCCCTCCTCCACCACCAGGCCCAGATCTCTGCAAGGCGCTCTGCTGAGGCTTCTTTACCAGAACCTTCTGCGTTCTTATTTTGAAAGTGTGGATATCTAGAAATGATAATTAAAAAAAATACCAGGCTTAAGATATAATGTTTCAGAGAGAGAAATAAGCTGGCGGCGGAGGTAGCAGCTGCCCCGGCCGCCTCTCGCAGCCACGTCAAAATCACAACTAAAATACAGAACCACCAGCACTCAGAGCCTCCTGAGATGTGGCTGAACAGAAGCCCCACAGCCAGGGAGCTGAGGAAGCACCGAGACCTGCGGGAAGGGCGGCGACGCGGGTGGGTCGGGGCTGGATGGGGAGACTTGGCGGCGGGCCCACCCCTGGTGCTGCAGGCTAAACCCGGGAGGACATCTTGATGGTGGAGGGTTCCCGGAGGAGCGGAGAGTCCCAGCCCCACAGCAGGCTCCCAGCCCAGGGCTCCAGGCCGGGAAGAGATGTCCCCACACCTTCGGGCTGTGAAACCAGCGGGGACTGTGGCTGAGGGTCGCGGAGGCCGCGGGAGCCCCAGCAGCTCCTCTAAAGGGCCCGGCACGGACTCACTCGGACGCTCCCTCTGAGCCCAGCGCCGGGAGCAGCCTGAAAGGACCCGGGACACTCGGGGAGGAACTAACCTGCCTGGAATCCGGGCGAGAGGCGGAGAGCGGCTTCCTCCCGGGCAGAAGGGCTGGTGGAGGCCGTGGCTCCTGTGGCGAGTCCTCCCCGCACAGCCGGCAGGCGGGCGCCATGTTTGA